CCAAAAAAAAAAAAAAAGACCACAGTGGGCAGGGAGCTCCGTTAAAGTGACCACAACGAGCTGGGCAGCCCAGGGCCTGGCATGGGGGGCTCTCAGATATGGGCACGCTGACGTCATTACTGCCAGCTCCATTGTGGTCCGGTCTGCGAGGGCAGGCCCTTTTGTCCATCTGTTCACTCACGTGCTCTCCGGGCCTAGAATGGTGCCTGGACCTACTCGGTGGACACATGGAGAGGTTCTCCCTGAAGTCACATATGTGGCCTCTCCTTGGGGTCATGCATGCCTGAGGGCAGGCACCCACCCCTGCGCAGGCTCAGTGCCCTCATGACCCCGTCTGCACCCACAGATGTGCCCTTGGTGGGCAGAGTGTGACCGAGAGAAAGGCTGGCTCTGGCTTCCCCTCAGAGCTTCTCCTCTGTGCACACCCAGACCCCAGCAGGGAAGGGACTCCCCAGGATGTCAGGGGTGAGAGGGGCCTGTGCCCCATGTGCCCCCCAGCTGTGGACCGAGACCCCTCTCTGGGGGCTGCGGGCTTCCGGCCTGACACTGTCCGCTGTCCTTTCAGCGAGGAGCGCCCCCTGGATCTGACAGGCAAGGTGTACCAGCTGGAGGTGATGCTGAAACAGCTGCATACGGACCTCCAGAAGGTAGGGCCTCGCGAGGCGTGCACTCCCCCGCCCGCGTCCCAGACGGGCCAGCAAGGCTCAGGCCCCTGTCTCCACCCCGCACCTGCTATTCTTGACTGTGGGTGCGGCCAGCGGAAAAAGTAGTGATGCTGAAGGCTTGGAAGCTCACAAAGGAACTCTCATGCATGCTCAAGGGAGAATAAATTGGCCCAGCCTTTTTGGAGGGCAGTGGGACAATATTTATCAAAAATGTGATTGTGAGGCTGGGCGCAGTGATGCCTGTCATCCCAGCACTTTGGGAGACCGAGGCAAGAGCATTGCCTGAGCCCGGCGGTTTAAGACCAGTCTGAGCAACTTGGTGAGACCTCATCTCTACGATAAGTAAAAAAATGTGCCAGGTGTGGGGGTATGCACCGATAGTTCCAGCTACTTGGAAGGCTGAGATGGGAGGATTGCCTGAACCCAGCAGGTTGAGGCTACAGTGGCCGTAAGCATGCCACCACTGCACTCCGGCCTGGGCGATAGTGAGACTCCGACTCAAAAGAAAAAGTAATGGTGTACTTTGTTGACCAGCAGTTCCACTTGTGGGAATTTGTCCATGAGACCTTCCAGTGTGGGCACAAAGAGATCACGAACAAGGACGCTCATTGCTGCTCTGCAGGCAGGTGAAAACCGGAGCCAGTGTGGCTGTCCACCGAAGGGTTGTGAGAGCCGCAGGGAACCCCTGCGGCAGCAAAGCCCACGGCCAACAAAAACAATAACACATCTGCCAGGTACAGTGGCTCACGCTGTAATCCCAGCACTGAGCCCAGGAGTTGAGGCCAGCCTAGTTAACATAGAAAGACCTCATCTCGCCAGGCTTGGTGGCTCAGCCTGTAATCCTGCGCCTTTGGGAGGCTGAGGTGAGTAGATTTGCCTGAGCCCGCGGGTTCGAGACCCGTCTGGGCAGGCAAGACCTCATCTCTACAATAA